CTTAAGTTTTTTTAGGGGAGTAAATAGATAAGAGGTAATCAACAAGATTGAGCCTCTCCTTCAATCCATTGTGGTTAGCTCAATAAACCAATCTTGAAATGCGACACTGCCACTTCCTGAACTGATCGTCTAATCAACTATAATAACGGCATATGGCAGTGGTTTCCAAACTTTTCCTAGTCGCGGCGCCCTTTTTCGATTAAATTTTTTCCATGGCGCCCTATCCTAAGTATGACTATTCGTAAGTAAGAGATAACAAAAAATAAAACTTGTTTATCTTCATTATTTTTTTTACTTTATTAATATTAAATTAATATTCAATAATTAATGTGATAAATGAGCCTGCAAATCACTACCCATTATCTCAAATTGAAGCTTTTACAATATTTCGCGGCTCCCCCGGGCGCCGCGGCGCACAGTTTGGCAACCACTGGCATATGGGAAGACCCCAGATTGTGTGGTTTTTGGTTGTGTCGCCGCCTCCTTTCGCTACAGGTCTAGTCTGACCTCTTTTTCTCAGCTTGGTTGTAACGCCACAGAGAGCTGGAAGAAAGCGCCGAGTATTACGACCTCTGGCATAGTTATTATGATAATTTTCCGCTCCGCACTTCGGCTAGTTTGACGATGTCAAGGTTGGCTTTCCGATTTGATGATGATGTCGACTATGATGACAGTGTAAGGCTTGGTACTATTTTGGATCGACTGCATTCTGTTGGAAGTTATAATGCCTCAGTGCCAAAGGGTGCAGTATCGAGTGTCTTTCTTGAGGTCGGCCTGACGGCACGACCGAGTTGCGAAGACGAGGTCAAACCACGTTCAAGGTTGGCGAATTCGGGGTCCCATGAGGTGCACATTCCCCATAAGACTGCCGCTTGTAGCGGACGGAAAGGATAGTCTTGGGAGTTTTTCTCCCGTGACTGGTTGCCCAGTCAACTAGCGAGATTGTGCAATCCACCTGGACGCTTTCATTCAGCCGCCCCCTGTCGCAGTGTCGGCAGGCCGAGTGCACCCGACCGGCGCACGCCCCATCCAGCCTCGAATTCGTCCGAACGTCTTCGTGTCTGACCCTCCCGACGGAAGGCACGACCAGACCCGTCTGGTCAATCTGGCCCGTGGGAGGGCCGAGGCACACGGGGCGTTGGCTCGACAAGGAGAACTGGCTGGTGCGCCAGCAGTCAGGCAGCTGAGGTTTGTTCTCGGCTTTGTGCCGATCTGATGGCATGCTCGTCTGCTGTAGGAGAGGATGAGTGTGGTGCGATGTTCCGGAGGTATGCCGTTGTAGGCAGCAAGGTCTTTTGCCTTCCAGGGCACGGGCAGAGCAGGGCAGAAGAGCGGTTTCTGGGTGTCTATTGGCCGGCGCAAAATGCCATAGGGAGTGTGTATATGTATGAATGTGTGTGTGTGTGTGTGTGT